GAACAGTGGTTGAAAACCACTGGTTTAATCAAATAGCAATGCCACACGATGAACTGTCATTGTGTTGTCAACATCTTCCTACCAGCTTCCTACCTTCAAACATGGAGACAACATAATCAATGAGTCTACTGGAGCGTGTTTATACCTGGAGGTAAAGCATGGTTCATAGTCAATATCATAAATGTATTGTTTGAAAGTAAAGTTCCCATGATTATGTTTGTTTTTGTCTCCTGCTGTAAAAGAATCAGTTCAAGTCTCAGGGCAACAAGCTGATCCCTGACAGTCCTGCAGAACAAGCTCTGATGTACCAACGCATGATGGAGGGTCTCACTCTAATTGAGAAACTAAGTAAGTTCCACTTGTACATGTGCACAGCTAGTACATACTAGCTTGAAAAACGCTAAGGACAGAAATAATACCATCAACACTGTTTGTGTCAGACTTGGTTGCCTTCTACGACTTCTACGCCCCTGAAGGAGAGCGCCATGACTCTGCTCTGAAGAGACACAAGGAGAATCTGGTCACTGAGCTTAAACTCTGGGAGAGCTACCTGGAAAACGTAGGTTTGAGCACCGCTCACAGAAAGACACATGGAGAAAGTCACACGTTATGCTGATGACAGTGCTGTTTTCGTTTGTTCTGTGTATCAAGGTGGCTGCAGACCGCTACCTAGCAGGAGGATTCTCCTTAGCCGATGTTGTCGTCTTTCCAAGCGTTGCTTACGCCTTCCGTTATGGGTATGTAATTAAGTCCGGTGTTTGCTGGAAGACAGATCTTTCTAATCAACATCATGACTTTAATTTTTTTTCATTTTGAATTTTTTTCATTGGTCTTTTTTAGGCTGTCTGTGGAACGATACCCCAAACTGGCCAAATACTACAGCCTTCTGAAGGACAGACCCAGCATCAAAGCTACTTGGCCCCCAAAGTGGTTCCAAATCGAGCAAAGATCTGAAAGCCTGAAGGACATCTGAGCAACGAAAACACTGTCTTCATCTTTTCTTAACATACTGCTTTTTCTGAAATTACGAACTTAATGTAGCATGACTACTATACCTTGTTCATACAGGTCGATCATCACGTTTTCTCTACTTGTGGATAATTTATCAGATGTGCCGTGCAGGTTTTACTTACAAAGTTGAACTCAGATGAACAAAAAAAGTGGGACTATTGACAATTCATACACTAATTACTAAATGGATGTTATGCTTTGTCACTCAATAAAGACATTTCAAAACGGCTTGTTTGGTCAGTTTGGTTTGTTATTTTCTGGTATTAAAAATATGTTTGATGATCTGAAAAGCTAAAGTGTGACATATAAGTCAAAACCATAAGAAATCTGTAACCTGTGAAAAGTGGCTATAGGTACTTTTTGGAGGTGTGGCATAAATTGAGTTTTGGTTAAGAATAGACTAGTAATAGGGAAAATGTCAGGTTTAGGCATAAACATAGTTACTAGAATGAGTAGAAGTCAATAGTGTCTCTGTTTTACTGTTTTACTATAGAAAATATAAGAGAATAACAGAATTCACATTTTAAGGCTGCCTTTGGAATCAGTGATTAGCTGATCTCACATATTTTACAACCAAAACAACATTATGATGGATACCACATGTTTAGCTGCCCTTTGCATCTTACATTAGCCATTAGCATGTGTGGAAAATTATCGGTCCTCCATGCTGAGTTCTTGATGTATGAGGTTGAAGAAGAGTCAGTGAGTTGAATTCATGATTTCCATTTATTAATACCAAACTACAGCTGGTCCATTTATCATGCTACCTTTAGGAGTTAGCAGGACAAAATGCAACAAGCAACAGCTGGTAACTTCCTTTGTTAGCCTCTGAGGGCGTTCCCTAGTGTGTCATATCCTCTGCCCTTAGCTTTGAAAGCATTTCCTAACATGTCATTTCCTTTAGCTTTAGCTTTGCAACTAGCTAGAAGAGGTAAAAAACACAGAATTATTTATTCTCAACACGTTTGTTACTAGTATGAGTAACATTTCCAAAAGACGCCTGAAATTTGCAAATTCCAACAAAAGTGGACACTTTTACGGGATAAAAGAGGTTTGGTATTCTCGCATCGAGCCTTCCTGTTATCTGCCAAATCTCAACTCTCTGTAAATCCCTACATAGAAACAGTTTGCTATCTAGAAGCTTGATACACCTTTTGTGGCTTGTCCAACTTCATTTTAAATATCTTACTGATGGACAGTATCACTGACATTGATGGAGTGGTGGGTAGGGTCAAAGTCTACAGTTTTAACTTTTCCTCCATAAGTTAATTGTAGGTCCAGTGACAAAGCAAAATAAAAGAGTTGACTTTGAACTAATATCTCACCCTAAAACAGAACCGACTGCAGCTTGTGGTTGTTCAAGTAGAGATAAGAAAAGCTGTTTATTTCCATCTGAACGCCAAAACCAATATATTCAGACAATCAATCATTAGTCGTTTGATCCACATTACAGCTAAACTGCTTGTAAATAGTTGATAACAAATTGTGTTCCAAGCACTATTAAACAGTCTAGGTGAGGCAGTGTACTTGTCCCAAATTACATCCCAAACCCTTCAGCAAAGTGCTTTTAAAAGGAGTGACTGAAACGGAGGAGTGTTTGAGCTCAGATTTGTGTGAAGTGTAAAAAACGCTACGATGATGAAACTTGTGGCTGACATGCAGAGCCCTCTGCATTAAATGTGCAAATGCCCTCATCAGGTACAACATCTTTAGTGAGGTGGTGTCATGTTTTTCGTAGAAACTCGTATTAAGGTCTGAGAAAAAGGAGGAGTTTCTGAGGATTGTAGTTGTAAAGAAAAGCCGTGAGGAAATACGTCCGTTATAGAAATCTTTGTTTTTTTTAAATGATGGAGTGAGGAAGTGTTTGGACACGAAGGAGCGCCAGCGGACACTTTCACGTGAAATGGTGTGTTAAACACATTCTGCAAAAAAAAAGAAAAAAGAAAAAAGCAAATGACTCTTCACCTCCTTCTTAGCTCTTTCATCACTGAATGAGGCATTAACTAAAGGGCGTGGCCCTGAACACCCGGTTTTTGATAAATTAGAGAGTGGGAGTTGCTCGGTCACTCTTCATCACGTTTCCCAGACAGAGCGGTGAGGTTCGTGTCTAACTATGGCGCAGTCGATGTATCTGCTGTGGGGGTCCGGATCCCCTCCATGCTGGCGCCTCATGATCACCCTGGAGGAGAAGAAACTACAGGGATACCAACAAAAACTGCTGTCTTTTGAGAAAATGGAGCATAAATCTAAAGAGGTTTTGGAAATCAACCCCAGAGGACAGGTAGGTGCACACCTAAATAATGACAGGATTATTTATTTATTTTTATTTCTCAAAATTTTAGCTGACACCACTGAGAATTTTGCTTCCATACCTTTTCATTTAGTGCAAAGTGGACAAATTGCGCCAAATAGAGGATCCATAAATTTCTGCATAGAAACTCAAATCTCAACCTAAACTAAAACTGGTTGCGATTGTTCAAGTAGAGACAGGAAAAGTTGTTCATTTTCATCAGAATGAAAAAGCAAAAATATTAAGTCTAATATAAATCATTAATCATTAGGTCAGCATTAGAGATAAATTGCTTCATTTCTTCCTTGTTGATTACAAAATGTGCTCTGACCTCTGAAACACTGTCCTGGTCAGACCGGGGACAGTTGTACCAGGCTACACCACAACTCCTTTATTTATTTATTTTTTTACAAATATATTGTGTTGAAGAAATAAGTACTTCATAATTACAAGTCTGATGATAATATTCTGCATTTAATCAAGTAGCAATGTCTCAAGATGAACGTTGCAAGCTAACATCATGTTAACATCTTCCTACCAGCTTCCTACCTTCAAACATGGAGAGAATATAATCAATGAGTCTGTTGGAGCGTGTTTGTACCTGGAGGTAAAGCATGGTGCACATTGAATAAAGTACATGTATTGTTTGAAAGTAAAGTTCTTATGATTTTATTGTTTTTGTCTCCTGCGGTAAAAGAATCAGTTCAAGTCTCAGGGCAACAAGCTGATCCCTGACAGTCCTGCAGAACAAGCTCTGATGTACCAACGCATGATGGAGGGTCTTTCCTTTCTTGAGAAAATGGGTACGTTTCAGTCAAGCATGTGCACTTGGACAACCGTGTTAGCTCGAACAATGATCAGGACAGAAACAGTAATATTAACGCTGGTTCATCTGTCTTAGAATCTTTTGCCTTCTACGACTTCTTCATCCCTGAAGGAGAGCGCCTTGACTCTGCTCTGAAGAGAAACAAGGACAATCTGGTCACTGAGCTTAAACTCTGGGAGAGCTACCTGGAGAACGTAGGTTTGAGCATCGCTCACAGAAAGACACGTGGAGAAAGTCACACGTTACGCTGACGACAGTGCTGTTTTTGTTTGTTCTGTGTATCAAGGTGGCTGCAGACCGCTACCTAGCAGGAGGATTCTCCTTAGCCGATGTTGTTGTCTTTCCAAACGTTGCCTTCGCCTTCGCTTATGGGTATGTAACTAAGCTTGGCATTTGCTGGAAGACAGATCTTTCTTATCAACATCATGACTCTGAGTTGTTTTGTTTCCTTTTTAGCCTGTCTCCAGAACGATACCCTAAACTGGCCAAGTACTACAACCTTCTGAAGGACAGACCCAGCATCAAAGCTACTTGGCCCCCAAAGTGGTTCCTAATCGAGCTAAAATCTGAATGCCTGAAGGACATCTGAAGACAGCTGAAAATACTGTCTTGTTTTTTGCAATTACACATTTAATGAAATATAATTAGTATAATTTGCTAGATCACCACATTTTCTCATTTTCTGGATAATGTATTAGGCTAGATGTATGAGTTTGCCATGTAAAGTTGAAATCAGATGATCAAAAAATGTGACTAGTCACAGTTCATTTATTAATAACTAAATTGACATCATGTTTTGTGTGACTTGGCTACCCCTCAATAAATAAATATTTTTCCAACATAGTTTATTATTGTTGTCTGTCTTTAAAATATATTTAAAAAATGTGACAAAATAGCAAAAGTGGAAGATAACAGGGCCAGTGATTTTTCCTTGTGCTTCACACATGTGGTACTTGTGTGAGACCAGGAAAAATTTGGATTACATATTGATTAATTTCTAATTTTCAAAAAAAGTAGCCACAAATGGTCAAAAACCACGACAATCCAAGATTGCCAAACTTTAGTAAATCCAAAGACAATTTAAGCTCTATGCAGAAAACTTAGAATGCATCTTTGTTGCAAAAATAAGAACTACAGTGCAGAATTATACTGTGAAACAATTAAAAGTATGTTTCATTTATCTATAACAACGACAAACGGTTGAAATATTGGCGTAACTGTAAATACTGTGGAAAATCCACTTCTACATCTTATTTTGCTTTTTACTAGTATTTATTTTAGCTATATAGAATAAACCATGGTGTACCTCAGAGAAGCTTTGACAATGGAGGTCAAAGCCATTTGTAAAAGTCAGATTGTATGAAGGTATTTTCACTAAAATCTTCCATACCTGTCAGGCAGATTCTAACAGAGGATAGTTTGCATATATTTTTAAACACATTCTGCAATAAAAAGCAAATGAACGTTCACCTTCTTTTTCTCGTTCTCTTCTTTCACCTGAGTTAGACATTAACTAATGGGTGGGCCTTTGAGTGCCCAACTTTTTGATAAATTAGAGAGTGGGAGTTGCTCAGCCACTCTTCACCACGTTTCCCAGACAGAGCGGTGAGATTCCTGTCTAACTATGGCGAAGTCGATGTATCTGCTGTGGGGGTCCGGATCCCCTCCATGCTGGCGCCTCATGATCACCCTGGAGGAGAAGAAACTACAGGGATACAAGCAAAAACTGCTGTCTTTTGAGAAAGAGGAGCATAAATCTAAAGAGGTTTTGGAAATCAACCCCAGAGGACAGGTAGGTGCACACCTAAATACTGCTTGTTATAATTTTGTACATGATTTGAGCTGACACCACTGAGAATTTTGCTTCCATACCTTTTCATTTAGTGCAAAGTGGACAAATTGCGCCAAATAGAGGATCCATAAATTTCTGCATAGAAACTCAAATCTCAACCTAAACTAAAACTGGTTGTGATTGTTCAAGTAGAGACAGGAAAAGTTGTTCATTTCCATCAGTAAGAAAAGGCAAAAATATTAAGTCTAATATAAATCATTAATCATTAGGTCAACATTAGAGTTAAATTGCTTCATTTTTCCCTTGTTGATTACAAAATGTGCTCTGACCTCTGAAACACTGTCCTGGTCAGACCGGGGACAGTTGTACCAGGCTACACCACAACTCCATTAGCACAGCACTTAGCACAGTTTTTATTTTACAAATATATTGTGTTGAAGAAACAAGTACTTCATAATTACAAGTCTGATGATAATATTCTGCATTTAATCAAGTAGCAATGTCTCAAGATGAACGTTGCAAGCTAACATCATGTTAACATCTTCCTACCAGCTTCCTACCTTCAAACATGGAGAGAATATAATCAATGAGTCTGTTGGAGCGTGTTTGTACCTGGAGGTAAAGCATGGTGCACATTGAATAAAGTACATGTATTGTTTGAAAGTAAAGTTCTTATGATTTTATTGTTTTTGTCTCCTGCGGTAAAAGAATCAGTTCAAGTCTCAGGGCAACAAGCTGATCCCTGACAGTCCTGCAGAACAAGCTCTGATGTACCAACGCATGATGGAGGGTCTTTTCTTTCTTGAGAAAATGGGTACGTTTCAGTCAAGCATGTGCACTTGGACAACCGTGTTAGCTCGAACAATGATCAGGACAGAAACAGTAATATTAACGCTGATCCATCTGTCTTAGAATTTTTTGTCTTCTACGACTTCTACGCCCCTGAAGGAGAGCGCCATGACTCTGCTCTGAAGAGACACAAGGACAATCTGGTCACTGAGCTTAAACTCTGGGAGAGCTACCTGGAGAACGTAGGTTTGAGCACCGCTCACAGAAAGACACGTGGAGAAAGTCACACTTTACGCTGACGACAGTGCTGTTTTCGTTTGTTCTGTGTATCAAGGTGGCTGCAGACCGCTACCTAGCAGGAGGATTCTCCTTAGCCGATGTTGTCTTCTTTCCAAGCATTGCTTGTACCTTCGCTTATGGGTAAGTAACTAAACTTGGTATTTGCTGGAAGACAGATTTTTCTCAACATCATGACTCTGAGTTGTTTTGTTTCCTTTTTAGCCTGTCTCCAGAACGATACCCTAAACTGGCCAAATACTACAACCTTCTGAAGGACAGACCCAGCATCAAAGCTACTTGGCCCCCAAAGTGGTTCCAATTCGAACAAAGATCTGAAAGCCTGAAGGAGATTTGAACACCAAACACCGATAAGGTCTTCTTTTCTAAATGATTTTTTTTCAATAATAAACTTAATGAAATATAATTACTATAGTTTGTTCACATAGGTAGATCACCACATGTTTTCTCATTTGTGGACAATGTATTAGGTTAAATGTGTGAGAGTGGACTATGAGGTTGAACTCAGATGATTATAAAATGTGACTAATCATTTCTTAATAACTAAATTGATGCCATGTTGTATATGACTTGTCTAGTCTTCAATAAATAAAGTTCCCCCCCCAACATAGTTTATTAATGTTGTCTGCTATTAAAATACATTTGAGCATCAAAAAATATGACAAAACAGCAAAAGATATATGAGAAGATAAGATATATGAGGTACTTGGAAAAGCTGGATTAGATATAGATTAATTCCTTAAAAAACAGCCATAAATATTCCATTAGGACAACAAAGCCAACATTGCTAAACTTTAGTGAATCCAAAGATGATTTACACACTGTGCAGAAAACTTATAATGCATCTTTGTTGCCACGTTTGCAAAAATAACTACTATGGTTCAGAATTATAGTATGAAACAATCCAAAGTACGTGTTTCAATTTTCAGTTAATACAGAAGAATTGGAAAAAGTGAAAATTCAAAGCAAGCATGTGGTCATTTTATGCATGCTGTGGTATTTGATTAGATTTTTTTTTTGTCTTTAACTTATTTTATTTATTTTCAATGCCCCAAGATGGCACATAATATCTATTATTTCAAGGAGTGTTCCAGTTGCCTTGTTTGAGTACTGTGGGACAGGGCAGGCAGAACAGGTCTTGTTTTGTGGTGTGACTGTTTGTCCTCATCTCGTACTGCTCCGACTCCCAACACGGCCTGAACGCAGCATTGACCTCTGGGGATGCAGTTACCTCTCTGTGCCACTGGGTGGCAACAGAAATGCACTTTTCCCCCCTCACCCGTGAGCGTAAAAATCGAAGACAGAAGAAGAATTCCACCTCAGTGCGTGTGGTGCACAGGCAGACTGCTGCTAAAGCTTGTCGAAAGCGTGACTTTGAAGCTCTTGAACCTGAAATCATGGCCCAGGACATGACTCTGCTGTGGGGCTCCGGCTCGCCTCCCTGCTGGAGAGTCATGATCGCCCTGGAGGAGAAGAAGCTGCAGGGCTACAACAGCGTACTGCTGTCCTTCGACAAAATGGAGCACAAGTCCCAACAAGTGCTCGATATTAATCCCAGGGGGCAGGTAGGTTGAAGTTTCTGCAAAGTAATCCTGCACTGAAACAGATATTTGCAGACTAATGTTCCCGAATCACTCTGCCTTGATTGCATTAAAATAAAAATAATAATAATAATAAAAAAGCCGAACCACTCATCTCCAGTGCTTTGGTTTTAAAGTAAAAGTCCGGGATAAAAATCTAAGGATGTGATTATTTGATTAGTTACAAGACTGTGTTAGTCACACCCAGCTGCATTAAATTTACTAGAGCATTTAAACGCCTCCTTTTAGCTCAGCTGCATGTCAGGCCTCTTGCATAATAACGGTTCTGATTGTTTCATAACCCTGAATAAAGGCCTGTCTGCCACTTCAGCCAAGTCGCACACAGTTCACCCACTGAATAGCAGTGAATCCTCAGCTTGGATATAGTTTTTCTTTTATACCGTAATATTCACAAGTAAATTTTACACATTACAGAACAACTTGTTGCAGGAAAGGCTTATAATGTTTTAAGTTAGTCAAATTTCCAAAAGAACTTGTCAGAAAAGGTTTCAGTAGAACCGATTAAACTTTTCAAGTGGTTCCATTGTATATAGAAATTAAGAAATGTGCAGAATCCTTTATTTTCTGTTGCTTTAGAAGTGTGCATAAAGCTTTCTAATAATCCTCTTTTTTACACAACAGAGACTATTGGTGTGTAATGTGAAGAAATTCAGTTTGAATACTTTCTCAAAAGCACACCTAGGAACTACATTATGAAATAATGTTTTGTTTCAAGCCCTAACGATCATTGTAAGCTTTTATTTTTTTTCAACTTGCTTTATACAATGGCACTGTGTTTATAATTGCAACAAAATAAGAATGGCTTAAGAAAAACTTCAATGGTGCAGTCAAAGTCCAAACTAAGGCTGAAATGATTAACTGAATTAATTGATTATTGAAATAATCTAAAAAAATTCAGGAACGGATTAATCATTAACTGGAGGGCACAGACTAAAAAAAAAGCCATCTGCTGAAAGAACACACTCAGAGCAGTAATTAAACAAAAACTGTACAAAATTTTTAAAAAATGCTTTAAATATAAATAAACTTTTTCTGTAAATATGTTCAACCCATAACCCTTCAAGTAAGATAAGTGTAGCTGCACCTCGCTCAAATTCTGTGAAAAGCAAACAGTTGTAATCCTTCTATTTTCTTTTCTCGTGTTATTTCTTTATTTTCCTCCAGGTTCCATCATTCAAACACGGAGATATTATTGTTAATGAATCCTATGCAGCCTGCTTTTACCTCGAGGTGAGGAAGCCAGTCTGCAAGCAGCAATCTACACAATTACATGCGACGAGGGGAGAAAAAATAAAATAAAAATCATGATTATTTTGTTTTGCAGAGTCGCTTTAAATCCCAGGGAACCAAGCTGATCCCAGACGGACCCGAGGAGCAAGCGCTGATGTACCAGCGGATGTTTGAGGGCCTCTCACTCTACGATAAACTGGGTAGGATGAACATCAGTCGGGGTCGTTCCGTAGAAGTGGGCAAACGCTCGTTACGGACGTGGTCACGAGCCCGTCTAACGGATCAAAACCCGCTAATTTCTCCTCCTTCCAGGTGCGGTCATCTTCTACGACTACTACGTTCCCGAAGGGGAGCGGCTGGAGTCGGCTCTGAAGAGAAACAAGGAGACCCTGGTCACTGAGCTCAAACTCTGGGAGGGTTACCTGGAGAAGGTCTGGGGAACGACTCAACCAACGTAAAGCAGCTAAACGAGTTCTGCTGCTCTCTAACTGGCTCTTTGTTCTCTCCACTCCTCCTTCTGTAGCTGGGCTCCGGTTCTTACCTGGCAGGAAAGGCTTTCACAATGACAGACGTGGTTGTTTTTCCAACTGTTGCTACTGCCTTCAGATTTGGGTAAGAACAAGCAACATTCCTTCTTTTGTTCTCCGGTTTTTTTTTTTTGTTTTGTTTTTTTTTCCCCTAGCTTGTAAACTTCAGTTATGACTCTAGGGCTGCGGTAAACGATGATTTTAGTAAATTATTGATTTTATGCTGACGATTGAGTTATCAAATAAAAAATCTGATCAAGTTAAATATTGGTAAATGCTGTCATAACAGCAGAGTTGATATCCGATATAAATATTGGCCCAAAATCCTAACTTACTTTTCTGTTGCAAGATCCCGCCCCCAGCTCGCTCCTGGAGGGAGAAAAACTGCTCAACAACGATGACTACCATTGGTTTTAGTTGTCAACATGTTGCACTAACTCTTAAATGTACACATAACACATGAAGGAAAAAGGGACGCAGTGCCTTGCTACTAGTTTTCAAACTACGACAACTAGATAACAGATATAATAAATAATATATTTATTATAACAAAAAATAGCAAGGGAGGGAGAATTAGCTATGCTAGCTTGACTATGACAACATTGACATGTAGATGTGCTGTGGAATTTGGTGTTTCGGTTCAGTTAAAAAAAAGGTCAGTAGAGCAGGTGTTTAAATTAGCTAATCTGCCACCGCAGCAATCGGTTATTAATAATCGCAAAATAAACATCAGGCCTGACAACATAATACTGTAACGGATTGAATGTTCTGAACTTCGTGTGGGAAATGTTTGGGCGTTTCTTGTTGTTGAACCCTGATGCATTTCTGGCGTTGTCAGTTAGTTGTTATAGCAACGAATCTCTTTGCCCTGCAGCCTTGTGTGCATGTGTCAAACTTCACTTTTTACGACGACCTTGACACAAAAATTTAAATTAAATAAAAATCAAATGAAAATAATACGACTCAATGTTTTTCTCGTCTCTCTCCGTTTGATCTGCAGGCTCTCTGCTGAGCGTTACCCCAAACTGGGGGCGTACCATGCTCTGATGAAGGAGAGGCCCAGCATCAAGGCCAGCTGGCCTCCTCATTGGCTGGAGAACCCCAAGGGACAAGACACCCTGAAGGACATCTGAGCCGGACCGGGTCCGGTCACACACAAGAAGCCTTGTAGTTCAGCTGTAAATCAGATCCTCTGGTAATCAACAATGACTAACACAAGAGTCAGATTTTGTTTTCTGAAAGGTCAAAAAGTTTCAAAGATGGCGTCTTCTGAACTGTTGTTTTTTTCGACAGAAGATGATTTTAGTTTCTGCTCAGGATGCTGGTGCCGTTTGTTGATCTCCTTCCACTAAAGCTGCATCTCTAACAATCTGTTCTCACTTCTGCATAGAAAAAAACGTGTAGCCAAGTGTCTAAGTTTCCTTCTTCCCACAAGTTAGTTCTGCTTCAAGTTTTCTACACAACAACTAGAGGCTAGAGGCTAGCCAAAGAAATGTTGCACTATAAAAAAACATCGGGGCCATGATTGTGGAATAGGTCAAATAAGGTCGGTGTGTTTAAAGGCGTTCAAAGTATGACTACAAGAGATAAAAATGTCCTGTTGCAGAAGATCCATGTTATCAGGTTTTATCATTTGAAAATCATTGTCAGAAACTGGTTTGCACTTCCCAAAGGTGGCTCGAATGTCACATGCTGCAATGACTTTGCATAAATCAGTCCTTTAAAAATTGCGTCCTTTGCATAATTTTGCATTTCATGTCCAGCTCTCAGACCATCTGAGACCCAGCTGTGTGCTGTATGTAGGTCAGTGTTTATCTCATTAAAATGTGAGTGTGTGTCGCCTCCATTGAACGAGTCTTTTCTCACTGTAAAACATGACATTATATCCTGCACGTTTGGATAAACTGGCATCATGTTTTTGGGTATTCCCTGGTTTGTTTTTTGCCCGTTAGCCTCTGATTGAACATGATGTTTACTAGTTTATTAAAATAGATTGACGGAACCATCATGTCTAAGAATATTTTAAGTTTTAAAATTAAATTAAATTTTTACACAAAGTTATTTGTGTAAAATCATTAAAGAATCTACAGTGTATCCAGCAAGTATTCACACCAATTCACTTTTTTTTCTTTTCCACTTTTTATTTTACATCCATGTCGCAAATTGTTATAACCAAACATCCCCATAACATAATGCTGCCACCACCATCTCATAGGGATGCTGAAGATGATCACCAGCCCCAATGTCTGCATTGTCTTATGGTTAGTGGAACTTAACTCATTCCAGGGTTAAATGGTTCCATCTCAAAAATGCAGATGGGTGAGTTTGAAAATGTCTGGCATTTTGAAGTGGAAATTTACACAATAAATTGCAAACTTGCTTTACAGATCAGATGTATATATATATTTTTAATTAATGTATAGAGAAAATGTATAGTAAAGAGAAAAAGCCTTCACCGTACTTGGTCAATTCCGGTTATTTCAAATGATGTCGGATGGATTTGGCAAGTGTGGCACAACTGGTTGCCAGTTGATGTGCAACTTTTGGTGTGCAAGAATAGCAGGAACTGGCCTTTCCATAGGTTTTAAAAGCAGAACAAGTCCTTTCAAAACAGCCTTTTTAAAAAAAAAACAGATCAAAATGTGTGTCTGTGAAACAGAAAGCAGATGTTCTACAGATGCATGTTCTTATCAGGTTCGGGTAGATGCTAGATCTTGCATATAAAGGACATAGATGAGCAAAAAAAAAAAAAAAAACCGACAGGAGCAACTCCAAACTGACTTTTACTTCAGTTTCTCCATCAGCTCAGGTGAATCCTGAAGTAAATGTGGCCACTCTATGGTTAATAACCCAAGTTACTAAAGCAGGCTTCAAATATTTTACTTGACTTTTTCTCCAGATTGAGAGCTTGATGACAGTGAGGTAAGAGATTGCAAAATAACAGGCGCTGTATGTTGCTTGTATGGGCAATAAATTCTCAAAATGTTTAACCTGGTGACTTCCCTACCATTCAGACACTGCATTAGCTTAAAGTTACTTTCAGGTCCAAATGGCACATTGTAAGAAAAATGGCTAATGGCCTTTGCATGATGAGAGAGAACTTCCTTGAAATAACACTTTGATTCAGCTAAACCCTCACAACTACAGCAAAGACTGTTTATTTAGATAAGTGAGACTTTCAGCTGCTTCCTTTCACTGTTACCACATTTCACACAGTATAAACTTTTAAACTCCTGGGTAGGGTGCTGGTCAGGTAGGTCTCCCAAGACACTGTTCTCCGGACTTTTGCACCACTTGCCAAATAAATTTTCACTTTGTAAACTCAAATTCAAGCTGGAAAGTTCACGTCACTAACTTTGTCTTTTTTAGCCATTAAGTTGTGCGTTTATGCTAGAATATTGTTCTATTTTCTTTTTTTTTTTTTTTTTTTTTACAATATTGACTTTAGTCATTCAGCCATAGAAAATAACCTGTTGTTTAGATAACCCTATGATGGCAAGCTACTGAGCGGTAATAATAATAATTTTATCGTGTGGCTACAACAGAGTGATTTTTGTCACATGCGTATGCAACAATAAACTTTTATTGCTGGCTTTCATCTCTGGGTTTTTGTTCAAAGTTCACCCGACATCAAAGAACTTCAAGAAAAGGCGTCGGGCGAACACGATCGTTTGACCTAACGAACGGAGGGGTTTGTTTATCCGTTTACAAGTTTGGTTTGCGTCTGTCGTCTTTGACGCTTGGATGAGACGTTTTCAAACCCTCCAATCCAGTAGTAGATTGTAAGAAACAAACTCCTCTGGACAGAGCACTTACTGTCACAGCTCCGTTCAGCTCTCTCTGAAACTATGGCCAAGAACATGACTCTGCTGTGGGGCTCTGGCTCGCCGCCCTGCTGGAGGGTCATGATCGCCCTGGAAGAGAAGAAGCTGCAGGGCTACAACAGCAGACTGCTGTCCTTCGACAAAGAGGAGATCAAGTCTCAGGAAGTGTTTAATATCAATCCAAGGGGTCAGGTAGGGAGAAAAGTACACTCCTGAACAAGATGTAGTAGATGTCTTTATATGCAGCTGGAAGGTCACATGACAGTGTGTTAAGGATTCAGCAGAGAGTAGTTCTTGACGGTCGTTTTCCTGAATAACGGATGAATTACTAGCTTTAGCACTTTCAGTTCTAAGTTTATTCTAAATCAACATTTTATACCGTGAGGTCAAATAATGAATAAATTGAATTTGTTTGCCAACAAAGAAAGAAAATTGATCAATTTTACCTTCTGCAAAGTTACACTTTGTTTATTCACACCACAAAATATTTTTCCAAAAGTCAGTTTTCTACATACAGTAAAGTTGGCTTGAATAGCTTTTTTTACTTTGAAACTGTATTTTTGTCTGAAATTAATGAGTTGAAAGATTTAATTGTGGCAAGAAAAGCAGAACAACAGATATCAATAAAAAGTTATTTTTCACTGCACTGTATGAACTAAAAGAAGAAAAAAGGTAGAAATAATGGTCTAAAGTCAAGAAAACTGACTAGCAGAGGTTGGCATAAATATTGTATGTGAGTAAAGTTAAAAGTAAATAAGCTGTGTTGGATTCACTACTCCAATTCCACTAGGGGGCTCTATAGTTTTTTTGTGTTGGTACGTGAATTAATGTGTAGAAGAAGAAAACGAACGGCGGAGCAGTAGTGTACTTGTGCTGCCGCTAGCTTAAACTAAAAGGCCGAACCTGCCATAAAATCACATCTTACTAATGTTTATGAGTGTTGCCCAACGTGTTTAACCGGTATGTCCGTGTAAAAGCACTCGGCAATAAAATTAACAACAACTACAACAACAACGGCTACCTTATGTTCTTTGTAACAAGCTGAAAATGTATAGCTTAAGTTATCAATAAATATTTCTATATATAAACATGAATTCTGTTTTTTTATTTGAAAATGAACCGACATTGAAAAAAAAGATTTCTTATTATTAACCATTAGCTTCACTTTAGTAAATCCTTTAATAATCCGAATTTCTTTTTTTTTTTTTATTCTTCTTTTAGGTGCCGTCTTTTAAACATGGAGACGTGATTGTCAACGAATCCTACGCAGCCTGTTTTTACCTGGAGGTGAGGGAGCCGCTTCGCCAACTAAAGCTTGAATCTTAAACAAACGCAGATGTGTACACTGACTGAGGACAACTCAACATGGTGAGTATTTAATATGACATATGCTATTTTTTCTCCGTTTTTGCCAGAGCCAGTTTAAGTCTCAAGGAACGAAACTGATCCCAGAGAGCACTGAGGAACAAGCGCTGATGTACCAACGCATGTTTGAGGGCCTCACTTTCTACGACAAACTGAGTAAGAAAACCAGTCAGAATTAAGCATTTGCCTAAATCTTTTTATAGGTTTCACCCTTGGTTCTGAAGCTGCTGAACACACTCTCCACACAACTCTTTATCTGCAGGATAAAGAGTTGAGAAATTGCTGATTTTTTTAGTTTCTTGTAGCAGCTAGCTGCTAGTGCTAATGCTAGCTTGTAAAACAGAAAACAGAAAAAAAACAATGAGTCTCAGCTGTATTTTTCACCTATGTACCACAGCTAGAACATTTTTTGCCAGCTTCTCTTCTTCTAAATATAAAAGCTGTTCTTTGGTGTTGCTTCAGTTTCTGTTGCATCATTTTGTTGTAACTATGCAGGCACCACAAGGGAGAATCAGCTAAAGTCTCAGAACAGCCATATCTCTCCCTACTTATAGTTCAGGATTGTTTTGAATAAAGAGTTGTCAGAAATGTATTATTAACCTGTAGTAGATAACTCTTATAAAGTATAACTCAGAATAAGTTGGTTTCAAACTTTTTTTTTTTTTTGCTAAGGTAATTTCCAAATTGAAATCCCATGCCATACTTTAAAATGCTACCATTTCTAAGATAACAGTCTTTTTTTTTTTAAGCCCAAGGTGTTTATTTGGAAAATCAGCATATTTTTCATCTTTCCAGCTGCAGTTATTTTCTATGAATACTACGTCCCCGAAGGCGAGAGGCTCGCCTCAGCTGTGAAGAGACACAAAGAGGCTCTGAGCGCGGAGCTCAAACTCTGGGAGGGCTACCTGCACAAGGTGTGTGAACGAAGCTCAAAAGCACAAACTATCTGAAGAATCCGTGACATATTCTCATCTGCTGCACAACTCTCTTCTGTCTTTTCTAGACGGGTTCTGGCTCTAACCTGGCAGGGAAGCATTTCACACTGGCAGACGTTGTCATTTTTCCAACCGTTGCCACTCTTTTCAGATTTGGGTGAGTGAGAGAAACAAGTGAAGTTCACATTTAGCTCTTCTTTCGTATAATG